AGTGAAGCTTAAAGCTCAGGAACGAGACTTTCACAAACAAGGTTCTTTTTACATTCTGATCACATCCACAGCCCTGTTTCCACCAACACTCCTCCTCTCTCCTCCTCTCTCTCCTCTCCTCATCTCTCTCCTCTCTCTCTCCTCTCTCCTCTCTTGTCTCTCCTCTCTTCTCCCCTCTCCCCTCTCCCCTCTCTCCTCTCTCTCTCCTCCTCTCTCTTTTCTCCTCCTCTCTCTCTCCTCTCCAGTAGACTGGTGAAAATGGTGCTTAAGTCACTAGTTCCTTACATCAGTAGTTGTCTCTTGGATGCAGGGTTGTCACGGTAACCGGTGTGGGCGGTACCCTCCGTACCACACGTTGACGGTAACAGTCAGAGGTTATGGCAGTAAAACTCCTCACCACAGATAGAAACATATCTTTGACGTGCTGATTTCTGAGTGAGGGTGCACACACACACACACACACACACACACACACACACACTTTCCTTTTAGGTACGGAATTTCTGCTCTTACCTTTGGGACAATACATGAGACACAAAATCAGACCAGACCAGGCCAAACCAGACCAGACTCTGAGGTGCCCCTGGTTTACCATGTGAGGAGCCCAGAGGACGTCTTCTTCATCTGCATCACATTTTGATAAAACTGAATGAACTAGAAACAGTAAACCAGTCTGGACGAGGGCCCGGCGTTACTCTGGTACAGACCTCTGCAGGGGGAGGTGTTTGGGTCCAGACCCATGTTTAGACTCCTTTGAACCAGGAATACACTTCTGTGGATTTACCTTTTTGATCATTATATGGCATTCTGAACACGTCCTTTTACATTAGTCACATGTAAAAGTCACATGTAAAAGTAAACTCTCTCTTTCCTGATCCTGTCGGAGAAACACAGGTCACAGCAGAAACACATCCGTCCAAACAAATATATAAATAATTATTAAAAAGTTAACAGTAATAATAAACAGTCCTTCAGCAGCAGAACCTCTGCTCTGGTCCAAAGTCAAATGTTAAATGATTCATTAGCATTTTTCATAAAGTTAGCATTCCTCCAGTGGACTTTTTACTGATCCGCTTGGTTTGGACCATGAATCCTCTCTGTTCTGGTCTGGACCAGAGTAAAACCATGAATCCTCTCTGCTCTGGTCTGGACCAGAGTAAAACCATGAATCCTCTCTGTTCTGGTCTGGACCAGAGTAAAACCATGAATGAATGAAAGTTGCTATGGTAACAGCCCCTGCTAGCCCTCCCACAGGTGCAGACTAATTGACAGACACTGGCCCACACTGCCCCCAGAGGACACACTGGGCAGTGCACGTTCCTAAATGTTGGAATCTGACTTTTCCGTTTAATAAAAAACAAATCAATCCAGAGACAAAAGTATAAAGTGCTTTAACTTTGGACAGACCAAGAAATGCACTTTTCTGTCTGGAAAAGGTAAAGAAGTGACAGAGGTCAAAACCACATGGTTGTGGCGCCACCTGCAGGTGAAAGCCAGATCCTGTCAGACCTCTAAAGCTAAGCAGGGGAGGGTCTGGCTAGTGCTGTTATGGAAGACCTCTGAACAATGATTGTAAATAACAGCATTTGTTTAAAGAGAAATTCACAAACTAATTTAGAGGCAAAACAGTCTAACGAGTTTGTGAACAGAGCAGTTTGACAGAAGGGGCGGGGGGACAGGTGTAAAGCTCAGGTCTGTGCTTTTATCTGCAGCAGCATCACATTAGTGCTGGTGTCAGTTCGTCGCCTGCGTCTCCTTTATCTGATGGAGTGAAAGTTATTATCCGAATTAGTCACGACCCGCGGCACCCTCTGCAACTCCTGCGGGCGACGGGTTAGAAGCTCCGCCCACATCCTCAATAAGAGACGACAGCATAATGAACCCAAGAAACAATACATTATCAGAGTTTAGTTTGTCCCTTGTCTTTCTGGTCTCTCTCTCTCTGGTCTCTCTTCTTGGTCTTTCTCTCTGGTCTCTCTCTCTGGTCTCTCTCTCTCTGGTCTCTCTGTGGTCTCTCTCTCTGGTCTCTCTCTCTGGTCTGTCTCTCTCTGGTCTCTCTCTCTGGTCTCTCTCTCTCTGTGGTCTCTCTCTCTGGTCTCTCTGTGGTCTCTCTCTCTGGTCTCTCTCTCTCTGTGGTCTCTCTCTGTGGTCTCTCTCTCTGGTCTCTCTCTGGTCTCTCTCTCTGGTCTGTCTCTCTCTGGTCTCTCTCTCTGGTCTCTCTCTCTCTGTGGTCTCTCTCTCTGGTCTCTCTGTGGTCTCTCTCTCTGGTCTCTCTCTCTGGTCTGTCTCTCTCTGGTCTCTCTCTCTGGTCTCTCTCTCTCTGTGGTCTCTCTCTCTGGTCTCTCTCTCTCTGGTCTGTCTCTCTCTGGTCTCTCTCTCTCTGGTCTCTCTCTCTGGTCTCTCTCTGGTCTCTCTCTGGTCTCTCTCTCTGGTTTCTCTTCTGTATGAGTCCTAAAAAGGATATTTTGTATCTACTCTCAGCTGGTCACCAGGAGACCATGGAGCTGAGACCATGAAGCTGAGACCATGTGTGTCAGGATTCAGAGCTCTTTGTGTTTCTTCTTCTTTGTTTGCTCTCTCTCTGTTTTCCTTTAGAGACATGTTTGGAGACTTGTGCTCCGTGCAGAGGGGGTGGGGGGACGGAGGTGTGTGGCAGACCCTGGGCTTAGACTGCCACCTGGTGTTCACTCATAGTACTGCATGCACCTGGAGAATAGACTGTTATAGACGGCTCTGGTCTGGTCTAGTCTGCTACTCTCTACTCTGTCCTAGTCTGGTCTGGTCTAGTCTGGTCTGGTCTTCTCTACCTGGTTGTGTTTCCAGCGATACCCACAACAAACCAGTATCTGTGAAAATTCCTTGGTAACCATGGCTTTACAGGAGATATTCACATAATCAATGTAACGGAACCATGAGCCTCATGCAGGAACTGTGCTACACAAATAAATCACTCTGTCGCTGCGGTCACGGAGTGTGCACATCCAGAGACTGACAGTTTCTCCTTAGGACAGAGAACAAAGGACTGGACCAGACCCAGACCAGACCAGAGAGAGGTGAGAGACCCAGACCAGACCAGACCAGAGAGAGGTGAGAGACCCAGACCAGACCAGACCAGAGAGAGAGGTGAGAGACCCAGACCAGACCAGACCAGAGAGAGGTGAGAGACCCAGACCAGACCAGACCAGAGAGAGAGGTGAGAGACCCAGACCAGACCAGACCAGAGAGAGAGGTGAGAGACCCAGACCAGACCAGACCAGAGAGAGGTGAGAGACCCAGACCAGACCAGACCAGAGAGAGAGGTGAGAGACCCAGACCAGACCAGACCAGAGAGAGGTGAGAGACCCAGACCAGACCAGACCAGAGAGAGGTGAGAGACCCAGACCAGACCAGACCAGAGAGAGAGGTGAGAGACCCAGACCAGACCAGACCAGAGAGAGGTGAGAGACCCAGACCAGACCAGACCAGAGAGAGAGGTGAGAGACCCAGACCAGACCAGACCAGAGAGAGGTGAGAGACCCAGACCAGACCAGACCAGACCAGACCAGAGAGAGGTGAGAGACCCAGACCAGACCAGACCAGAGAGAGGTGAGAGACCCAGACCAGACCAGAAAAACCAGATGAAAAAACTTTGAACAAATCAAGTTTATTTAAAAACAAAAAGACAGTTTCCACTGTTGCTCTGGCGGAACATCTTCCCATCAATGTTTACACAAATCCCTGCTGAAGAAAAGCAGCCCCCCCCTGCCTTGCTCCCCTCCCACACACTTCCATTATTCATTCATTTATTTCATTCGATTCACGATGTCAAACCGATGTCGAACCGATGTCGACATTTGTGGCTTTGGTCCATTTTCAAAACATTGTAATTTCCTGAGGTTTTGTTCAGGGTTTTTAATCAGACAATTATCAACAAACAAAGGGTACAGCTTTTGACAGCTGCAGCAGCTCAGGCCGACAGTGTTCAAGCCTTAAAACAAACAACACATCACCTCTGTCATGAACCAGGGCCCTCACTGTAACGACTGGATTAGAGCACATTTCTTATTTTCAAACCACACCTGGTCCAAACCACACCTGGTCCAAACCATGGTCAGTTTTATGGCTCCGAGATGACCACAGAATAAATACAAATTATGAAAAAAATGCATGTAAAAAACACAATAAAAACAATTCTTTTACATCTGGTCTCGCCCTCTGGTCTCGCCCTCTGGTCTCGCCCTCTGGTCTCGCCCTCTGGTCTCGCCCTCTGGTCTCGCCCTCTGGTCTCGCCCTCTGGTCTCGCCCTCTGGTCCCTCTCTCTGGTCTCGCTCTCTGTGGTCTCTCTCTCTGTGGTCTCTCTCTCTCTGGTCTCTCTCTCTCTGGTCTCTCTCTCTCTGGTCTCTCTCTCTCTGGTCTCTCTCTCTCTGGTCTCTCTCTCTCTGGTCTCTCCCTCTGGTCTCGCCCTCTGGTCTCGCCCTCTGGTCCCTCTCTCTCTGGTCTCTCTCTCTCTGGTCTCTCTCTCTCTGGTCTCTCTCTCTCTGGTCTCTCTCTCTCTGGTCTCTCTCTCTCTGGTCTCTCTCTCTCTGGTCTCTCTCTCTCTGGTCTCTCTCTCTCTGGTCTCTCTCTCTCTGGTCTCTCCCTCTGGTCTCTCCCTCTGGTCTCTCCCTCTGGTCTCTCTCTCTCTGGTCCCTCTCTCTGGTCCCTCTCTCTGGTCCCTCTCTCTGTGGTCTCTCTCTCTGTGGTCTCTCTCTCTGTGGTCTCTCTCTCTGTGGTCTCTCTCTCTCTGGTCTCTCTCTCTCTGGTCTCTCTCTCTCTGGTCTCTCTCTCTCTGGTCTCTCTCCCTCTGGTCTCTCCCTCTGGTCTCTCTCTCTGGTCTCTCCCTCTGGTCTCTCCCTCTGGTCTCTCCCTCTGGTCTCTCCCTCTGGTCTCTCCCTCTGGTCTCTCCCTCCGGTCTCTCCCTCCGGTCTCTCCCTCCGGTCTCTCCCTCCGGTCTCTCCCTCTGCTCCCCCTCCGGTCTCGTTCTAGTCCCCGGTGTGGACGCGCAGGTGCTGGGTGACGCTGCTCTTGTCGGTGAAGGTCTTGGCGCAGAAGGGGCAGCAGTAGGGTTTCTCTCCTGTGTGTGTTCTCATGTGTTTGTTGAGGTGTGGCTTCTGTGTGAACCTCTTGTCGCAGACCGAGCACTGGAACGGCTTCTGTCCTTTGTGCGTGTGGATGTGGCGGAACAGCGACGGTTTGTGTGCGTACGACTTCCCGCACTGCGCGCACGTGTGCAGTTTCTTGGTGAGCGCGCTGCTGTGTCCCGCCTCCAAACTCCGCTGCGGGTTTTCGAAGCCGCTGCTGGTCTCTGCGGCTCCCAACAGGCGGTCCAAGTGCTCGTGCCGGTCCGAGGTTTGCGGTTGGGCCCCGTATGCGTCGTCTCTGCGCGGCGGCGGCGGGGCGTACTCCCAGGTGCACAGTAACGCCTCCGTCAGCTCCTCCGGCTCCTGTTTGATGCTGAGGTCAGGATCCTCTTTGATGTAAAACTGTGTCTCAGGCGCCGCTGGACTGAGCGCGCTCACAAACTGAGCACCTGCAAGAGCAAGAGTCGGGATTAAAGCTGAGGTACGTAGCTTTCAGACCAAAAGTCCGTAGTAACATCACAATTAGGGCTGAGCGATATCACAATATAAGTCTCTCATATCGATATCAAAATTTGATTTTAAAAACAAATACATTTGTCGTGTCGGCGAAACCTGTTAGCAGCACTTGTTTACACTGACGAGGAAAGAGAGCTCAGGCTGGAGCACAGTGTCCCCCATTCTCAGTCCTGGTTTAGTCCTGGTTTAGCTCCTGGTTTAGTCCTAGTTTAGTCCTAGTTTAGTCCTAGTTTAGTCCTAGTTTAGTCCTAGTTTAGTCCTGGTTCATCAAAACACTTTATAATTTGTTATATTATTAATGTACAACATTAAAGTCATGTTTAGTTCATGTTTTAAAAGGTCCTTGTCTATCTTGATCTTGGATGGTCTTAACCTGACCCAGTTCTTTTTAGGCAAGGCAAGTTTATTTGTATAGCACAATTCATACACAAGGCAACTCAAAGTGCTGAACAAGATAGAATAAATAATCACAGAACATTAAAAAGAAAGATAAAAATATAAAATCCCTCAGTTGTATGCACAGCTAAACAGAACTGTCTTTAACCTGGTTTTAAACATAGTCAGAGAGGAGGCCTGTCTCACATCTTCAGGAAGACTGTTCCAGATTTTAGCAGCATGAATCTGAAAAGCAGCCTCCCCATGTTTAGTTCTGACTCTGGGCACTAACAGGAGTCCAGTCCCTGTGCTCCTCAGAGTCCAGTCCCTGTGCTCCTCAGAGTCCCAGCAGGAGTCCAGTCCCTGTGCTCCTCAGAGTCCGGGCTGGTTCATATGGGACTAACATGTCACAGAGCTCTGCAGTTCTGTTTAGCTGTGCATAGGGTCTGGTTTTGGTCTCTCTGTCTGTCTGGGTCTGGTCCTGGTCTTGGGTCTGGCCCTGGGCAGAATGTGTTTATGAAATGGGAGGCAGACCTGATCGACCAGCCGCCTCTGCTCTCTCCTTTCCCGGGCTCTGGTGGCCTCTCCCCGGGCTGTGGTAGTCTCTCCCCGGGCCTCTCTCCTCCTGCAGCCGCTCTACGCTCCTCTCCACCAGGGCACAGATGTCCTCCGCGGCTGCCGTGAGACGCGCGGTCACCAGAGCCCGTAGGTCCTCGGCCCAGGTCATGGTTCAGCACGGTTCGGTTCTGGAGTCACGGGGCGAGTTGCACGGTGTAGTCTGTTGTTCAGGCGGGCTCTTCCTCTGCCCCAGCCCCGCATGTGTCGGGGACAGTGTCGCCCTCTGCTGCCGGGGCTGCGCTGGGTCTTTGTTTTGACAGGTTTTACTTTTTTTATACTTTATTTTTGAGTTGTTGTGTTTAGAATTTCAATGGTCAGAATGTCATAATTTAAAACCAAGGCAATAACTATAATAAATAAAGTAATAATAATAATAAACAAAGTAATAATAATAAAACACAAACAAATAATTAAAATATGTAAGAATAATAACAATAGAAATAATTCAAAATACATATAAATAATAATTAAATGTATTTAAAAATAGAATGAAGAAAAAAAGATGCGCTGTAATAACGCACAACGTCATTTCCGGTCCGTGTACTTCCGGTCTGTGCTAGCGCTTCGGCCGCGGTGAGTTGTAGTGAAGTTTTTTAGTGATGAAATCGATACATTTGTCTGAGACTGATCCAAAAGAGGAAAAGCTTTAACTGCAGCGACTCAGAATTAAACTTTCTGCTTTGTCCCAAATGCTCATCCTCAAAGTTCACTTCCTGTTTTCCCACATGCTCCTCACTCATGGATCTATGATAGTATCCTCCTTCCACTGGTCTAACTGCTGACGCAACACTGACATTTCCCCTCTGGCATTGACACAGAAGTACATGTTTTTACAGAATCTTCAGATCCACAAAGTCACACACATTTGGAGAAGTTCCTTTAATCCCACAAACTGGTATAAAATCCTTAAAAATAGAATATAAAAACACACACCCACAGTTATATTAAATTATGTATTCATAGATTTTCTTCATAAATTTTCTTCACATTTTAAAGAACAGTTTCTAAAGATGTTTCTACTGTGGCTCCCAGGACGACAAGGGAAAGATCAGCGTGTCGTTTGGACCCGTGTCAGCTTCACAACCAGGAAGACAGGAGCACGTCCAGAGAAAAGGGTCAAAAGATGGCTTTAAAAGTTACTCAGGCCCAGAGAGAGAGACCAGAGGGACACCAAAGAGAGAGACACCAGAGAGACCAGAAGGACACCAGAGAAAGAGACCAGAGAGAGACCAGAGAGAGACCAGAGAGAGACCAGAGAGAGACCAGAGGGACACAAGAGACAGAGACCAGAGACCCGGCCTCTCCTACACTTGCATGTCGGCCTTCTCTCCGGACAGCAGCTCCTCCTGGTCCGGCTGCGGCTCCTCTTTGGGCGGAGTCTTCTTCATCTCACGGCTCTTCACCCAGGTGTATGCGGAGGACCCACCCAGGACCAGGAGGTTGCTGGTCCACCAGAGGGCGCTGCGGCTGGAGGCGCTGTGCACTACTGCGATCACGGTCTGCGCACACGCCTTCGCCGTCCCGGACACGTTATGAGTGAGCGGACTGGTGTGTTTGATCTGCAAACCTGTCACATACCTGCAACACAACACAGAGGCTTATGGAGAGACCAGAGGGGGACCAGGGACCAGAGAGAGAGACCAGAGAGCGAGCAGAGAGAGACCAGAGAGAGACCAGAGAGAGACCAGAGAGAGACCAGAGAGAGACCAGAGAGAGAGCAGGGAGAGAGCAGAGAGAGACCAGAGAGAGACCAGAGAGAGACCAGAGAGAGACCAGAGAGAGACCAGAGAGAGAGACCAGAGAGAGACCAGAGAGAGACCAGAGAGAGACCAGAGAGAGAGACCAGAGAGAGACCAGAGAGAGACCAGAGAGAGAGAGCAGAGAGAGACCAGAGAGAGACCAGAGAGAGACCAGAGAGAGAGACCAGAGAGAGACCAGAGAGAGAGCAGAGGGAAAGAGAGACCAAAGAGAGGGAGAGACCAGAGAGAGACCAGAGAGACCAGTAGTTCCTGTAACTAAAGCAGGCGTCTGCAGTTCCACAGGGTGTTGCAGCCTGAGGCAGATGTGTCTGAGTTTGGGGACAGTAATAAACGCGACACTGGGTTCTGGGGCCCACAACCAGAAGAAAACACATCTTCACGTTTTAAAACTTTTGTCCTGATATCCAGACTCTGGCTTCACGTACCCAATGGCGAAGCCGAACACCCCCCCGAGCATCATCATGGCCCAGAAGGATGGGTCGCTGAGGCGGCTGAAGCTGGCCAGGCGGCCCAGCTCCCCGAAGACCACCATGAAGGGCAGGAACAGCACACAGGCGTTGATGTTGTTGTAGAACGAGAGCTTCCAGATGTTTCCGTCCACCGCCGGCAGGACCTTCTTGGTGTAGATGGCGTTGAGCGACACGAAGGCACTGGCCAGGACCCCGAAGGCCACACCGGTCCAGGACAGGGAGCCGGCCAGTCCCTCCTGGTCCACACCCAGCCAGAACCCCCCTGTGGAGAAGAGAGGAACTGCATCAGACCAGAGACAGAGAGTCACTCATGGGGAGAGAGCAGAGAGAGAGCAGGGAGAGAGCAGGGAGAGAGCAGGGAGAGAGCAGAGAGAGAGCAGAGAGAGAGCAGGGAGAGAGCAGAGAGAGAGCAGGGAGAGAGCAGAGAGAGAGCAGAGAGAGAGCAGAGAGAGAGCAGAGAGAGAGCAGAGAGAGAGCAGGGAGAGAGCAGGGAGAGAGCAGAAGGAGAGAGCAGAGAGAGAGCAGAGAGAGAGCAGAGAGAGAGCAGAGAGAGAGCAGAGAGAGAGCAGAGAGAGAGCAGAGAGAGAGCAGGGAGAGAGCAGGGAGAGAGCAGAGAGAGAGCAGGGAGAGAGCAGGGAGAGAGCAGAGAGAGAGCAGAGAGAGAGCAGAGAGAGAGCAGAGAGAGAGCAGAGAGAGAAGGAGAGAGCAGGGAGAGAGCAGAAGGAGAGAGCAGGGAGAGAGCAGAGAGAGAGCAGAGAGAGAGCAGAGAGAGACCAGAGAGAGAGCAGAGAGAGAGCAGAGAGAGAGCAGAGAGAGAGCAGAGAGAGACCAGAGAGAGAGACCAGAGAGAGAGCAGAGAGAGAGCAGGGAGAGAGCAGAGAGAGCAGAAGGAGAGAGCAGGGAGAGAGCAGAGAGAGAGCAGGGAGAGAGCAGGGAGAGAGCAGGGAGAGAGCAGGGAGAGAGCAGAGAGAGAGCAGAGAGAGAGCAGAGAGAGAGCAGAGAGAGAGCAGAGAGAGAGCAGAGAGAGAGCAGAGAGAGAGCAGAGAGAGACCAGAGAGAGAGACCAGAGAGAGAGCAGAGAGAGAGCAGAGAGAGACCAGAGAGAGAGCAGAGAGAGAGCAGAGAGAGAGCAGAGAGAGAGCAGAGAGAGAGCAGGGAGAGAGCAGAGAGAGCAGAAGGAGAGAGCAGGGAGAGAGCAGAGAGAGAGCAGAGAGAGAGCAGAGAGAGACCAGAGAGAGAGCAGAGAGAGAGCAGGGAGAGAGCAGAGAGAGAGCAGAGAGAGAGCAGAGAGAGAGCAGAGAGAGAGCAGAGAGAGACCAGAGAGAGAGACCAGAGAGAGACCAGAGAGAGAGCAGAGAGAGAGCAGAGAGAGAGCAGAGAGAGACCAGAGAGAGAGCAGAGAGAGAGCAGGGAGAGAGCAGAGAGAGAGCAGAGAGAGAGCAGAGAGAGAGCAGAGAGAGAGCAGAGAGAGACCAGAGAGAGAGACCAGAGAGAGACCAGAGAGAGAGCAGAGAGAGAGCAGAGAGAGAGCAGAGAGAGAGCAGAGAGAGACCAGAGAGAGAGCAGAGAGAGAGCAGAGAGAGAGCAGAGAGAGAGCAGAGAGAGAGCAGGGAGAGAGCAGAGAGAGCAGAAGGAGAGAGCAGGGAGAGAGCAGAGAGAGAGCAGGGAGAGAGCAGGGAGAGAGCAGAGAGAGAGCAGGGAGAGAGCAGAGAGAGAGCAGAGAGAGAGCAGAGAGAGAGCAGAGAGAGACCAGAGAGAGAGCAGAGAGAGAGCAGGGAGAGAGCAGAGAGAGAGCAGGGAGAGAGCAGGGAGAGAGCAGAGAGAGAGCAGAGAGAGAGCAGAGAGAGAGCAGAGAGAGAGCAGAGAGAGAGCAGAGAGAGAGCAGAGAGAGAGCAGAGAGAGAGCAGAGAGAGAGCAGAGAGAGAGCAGAGAGAGAGCAGGGAGAGACAACAGAGGTTTCTGTAACTAAAGCAGGCGTCTGCAGTTTCACAGGTTGTCGCAGCCTGAGGCAGATGTATCCGAGGGAAATGGAGCAGGAACCCGAGAGTTTGGGGACAGTAAGAAACGCGACACTAGGTTCTGTGTCCTACAAAGCGAGAAACTGTCACGTATTAAAGCAGCCTTTCATTTTAGGCCAGATATACCAGGGAGAGACCAGAGGGAGACCAGAGAAAGACCAGAGAGAGAGACCAGAGAGCATTAGCATTAGCAGTAGCATTAGCAGTAGTAGCAGTAGCATTAGCAGCAGTAGCATTAGCAGTAGCATTAGCAGCAGTAGCATTAGCAGCAGCATTAGTACACCAGTAGCAGCGGTAGCAGTAGTCCCTGTCACTCCCGTATTCGTCCCGGAAACCGGATTCGTCCGGAAGTTCAGTTTGATCCAATGAGCATACGCAGCAGTAGATTACGTCACGGAATCTGGACGGAAGCAGAAGTAAATATAAAAAACTACCTATTCCTGCCTAAACTTAACCAGCCATTCCCATAAAATAACCCCAACCCAGCCTTAACCCTAAACTTAACCATCTTAATCAGACGCCTAAAACTTAACCAGTCTCCACTTAAGGACATATTAAAGGACAACTCACCCTCAAATCCACTTTTTTTTGCTGATAAACTGTATAAATGAGTGTCCAATAGTGTTGTCTACATATCCTGGTCATAGTTTTTTCACTTTGATGCAAATTAGTTGAAAGTTAAACTTTCTGCCTAAAACCGTCTGTGAGGCGCCATCTGCTGGCGACCTGTGTTACTACATTTGAATTTTGAATCTGGCGCCAACACTGGCGCGGCAGCAAGACCTGACGTCTGAAGCAAGACCTGACGTCAGCAGCCCCCCGCCCAGAGCAATGTAAACGGCCCAGTCTCGTTCACGCCCCCTTTAGTCCTCCAGGCCACGCCCATTTAGAGGAAGATTTGAACAGGAAATGTGAGTAACGTAAACTCCGAGGAGCGGGGGTGAGAACCACTTTAAACTTTTTGACATGCGCAAACTGAACTTCCGGACGAATCCGGTTTCCGAGACGAATACGGGAGGGACAGTAGCATTAGCAGTAGTAGCAGCAGGAGCAGCAGTAGCATTAGCAGTAGCAGTAGCAGTAGCATTAGCAGTAGCATTAGCAGTAGCATTAGCACTATTAGTAGCATTAGTAGTAGCAGCAGTAGCATTAGCAGTAGCATTAGTAGTAGTAGTAGCAGCAGTAGCATTAGCAGTAGCATTAGCACTCACCCAGGATGACGGCACAGCTCAGCAGCGCCGGCACAGACGTTCCCTGCCGGAGGATGGCGTACGACAGCAGCACGTTGAACACGGTGCTGAGGGAGCGGCCCACGGTGTAGAAGGCCACGCCCACATACTTCAGGCACAGGTTGTTGAAGGTGATCATGGAGATGAAGACCACGGAGAGAGGGAGGACCTCACGGGACGTCTTCAGGTCGAAGCGCAGCGTGGGGAAGTCCTGCATGACGGCGGGACACAACCACGACAGAGACCTGCCACAAACACCAGTATTCAGCAGAGAGACCAGAGAGAGAGACCAGAGAGAGAGACCAGAGAGAGAGAGACCAGAGAGAGAGAGACCAGAGAGAGAGAGACCAGAGAGAGAGACCAGAGAGAGAGAGACCAGAGAGAGAGAGACCAGAGAGAGAGACCAGAGAGAGAGAGACCAGAGAGAGAGAGACCAGAGAGAGAGAGACCAGAGAGAGAGACCAGAGAGAGACCAGAGAGAGACCAGAGAGAGAGACCAGAGAGAGAGACCAGAGAGAGACCAGAGAGAGAGACCAGAGAGAGAGACCAGAGAGAGAGACCAGAGAGAGACCAGAGAGAGAGACCAGAGAGAGAGACCAGAGAGAGAGAGACCAGAGAGAGACCAGAGAGAGACCAGAGAGGGACCAGAGAGAGACCAGAGAGAGACCTGAGAGAGACCAGAGAGAGACCAGAGAGGGACCAGAGAGAGACCAGAGAGAGACCAGAGAGAGACCAGAGAGAGACCAGAGAGAGACCAGAGAGGGACCAGAGAGAGACCAGAGAGGGACCAGAGAGAGACCAGAGAGAGACCAGAGAGACAGACCAGAGAGAGACCAGAGAGAGACCAGAGAGAGACCAGAGAGAGACCAGAGAGAGACCAAGGAGAGGGACAAGAGAGACCAGAGAGAGACCAGAGAGAGAGACCAGAGAGAGAGACCAGAGAGAGACCAGAGAGAGAGACCAGAGAGAGAGACCAGAGAGAGGCCAGAGAGAGACTAGAGAGAGACTAGAGAGAGACCAGAGAGAGACCAGAGAGAGACCAGAGAGAGACCAGAGAGAGAACAGAGAGAGACCAGAGACAGACCAGAGACAGACCAGAGAGAGACCAGAGAGAGACCAGAGAGAGACCAGAGAGAGAGACCAGAAGGAGACCAGAGAGAGACCAAAGAGAGACCAGAGAGAGACCAGAGAGAGACCAGAGAGAGACCAGAGAGATACTAGAGAGAGACTGAGAGAGACCAGAGAGACCAGAGAGACCAGAGAGAGAACAGAGAGAGACCAGAGACAGACCAGAGACAGACCAGAGAGAGACCAGAGAGAGACCAGAGAGAGACCAGAGAGAGAGACCAGAAGGAGACCAGAGAGAGACCAGAGAGAGACCAGAGAGAGACCAGAGAGAGACCAGAGACAGACCAGAGACAGACCAGAGAGAGACCAGAGAGAGACCAGAGAGAGACCAGAGACAGACCAGAGACAGACCAGAGAGAGAGCAGAGAGAGACCAAAGAGAGATACCAAAGAGAGATACCAAAGAGAGAGACGCGCTCCACGCACCAGCACAGCGTCACCGTCACCGCGCACTGGAAGAAGGTGATGAAGAGCGGCGCGTCCAGCTCCCTGTTGTCCAGCAGCTGGTTGTTGAGGAAGACCATGGTGATGGACACGGACCAGTACAGAGCCACGACCGCGAAGATCCTCCCAGCGCGGACCACGAAGGCGTCTGAAGCCGGGTCTGATGGGTCTGAGGACAGAGCCATCCTCAGGACCCCCGAGCGCTTCAGCTGCGGCCGCTGCATGGGCTCATGTGGCCAGCAGGACCGGACCAGGACCAGACCAGGACCAGACCAGGACCGGAGCAGGACTAGAGCAGGACTAGAGCAGGACCGGAACAGGACCGGAGCAGGACTAGAGCAGGACCAGAGCAGGACTAGAGCAGGACCGGAGCAGGACCAGAGCAGGACTAAAGCAGGACTAGAGCAGGACCAGAGCAGGACCGGACCAGGACCGGAGCAGGACCAGAGCAGGACCGGACCAGGACCGGAGCAGGACCGGAGCAGGACTAGAGCAGGACCGGACCAGGACCGGAGCAGGACCGGAGCAGGACCAGAGCAGGACCGGACCAGGACCGGAGCAGGACCAGAGCAGGACTAGAGCAGGACCGGAGCAGGACCAGAGCAGGACTAGTGCAGGACTAGAGCAGGACCGGAGCAGGACTAGAGCAGGACCAGAGCAGGACTAGAGCAGGACCAGAGCAGGACTAGAGCAGGACTAGAGCAGGACCAGAGCAGGACTAGAGCAGGACCAGAGCAGGACTAGAGCAGGACCGGAGCAGGACTAGAGCAGGACTGGACCCGGACTGGAACAGGACCGGAGCAGAACCAGAGCAGGACCAGACCAGGACCGGAACAGAACCGGACCAGGACTGGAGCAGGACCAGAACAGGACCGGAGCAGGACTAGTGCAGGACTAGTGCAGGACCAGAGCAGGAGCAGAGCAGGAGCAGACCAGGAACAGACCAGGAACAGACCAGGAACAGACCAGACCCGGTACTTCCGTAAACCGACTCTGGCGTATCCTTCTGCTACTGCACGTGATCGCAGGGAGCATGCGCAGTGCGGTCTCTCCTGGTCAGAACTGGCTGCATCCGTATCTAATAGACTGTAAATATTAAAATCCGCCTCCACAAAACCCCTCCTTCCTCTGACTCCTCTCGTTAAAGCTAAGGCACGTAATAAAATCCACGCCACTAGTTTCTTAAACAGTTTGCTTATTTGTTTAGTTTTCACATGCATGTAGAGAAAGACCAGAAAGAGACCAGAGAGAGAGACTAGACAGAGACCAGAGAGAGACTAGACAGAGACCAGAGAGAGACCAGAGAGAGACCAGAGAGAGACCAGAGAGACCAGAGAGAGACCAGAGAGAGACCAGAGAGAGAGCAGAGAGAGAGCAGAGAGAGACCAGAGAGACCAGAGAGAGAGACTAGACAGAGACCAGAGAGAGACCAGAGAGAGACCAGAGAGAGAGCAGAGGGAGACACAGCTGCAGGTCTGTGGCTGATGGGGAACAGTGTTGGAACATGGTGTAAGAAGAATATGTGGAATAAATGAACAGAATAAACAACATTTTATTATTTTAAAAGTATCAGAACAAGGCATGATGTGTGGTTGGTTTACTTTAATCTTTTGAGTGACAGGTGGAGGAACATTAATAAAACACAGGGATGTTTTTGAGGAGCTAAAGTCTGGACTCTGCAGGTGATCAGTTCTCCTCCCACCTGCAACACAAAAAACATGGTCCGTTCCCACACAGAGCAATGCTGACGCCACTGAGGCTGCTAAAGTCGCTAAAGCTAAAGAAGACTGAAACCTCTAATCACGAAACACAGAGTGTATTTCTGGAGAGCAGCTTCAGTGACAGACTGGTCCACCCCCTTCACGTGTTAGTGCAGTAAACGATTAGAATATAGTCCTAGTTCTCTCACTTTAGTCTGTCCTCTACATTTCCACCGTCTGTCTCAGAGTTGAACCAAACTCACTCTAGTTTCTGCAGCCGGTGTTGATGGTGCAGCCGAGTGAGGTCCTCCACGTCCTCCACCGTCAGACTGTTCTCACACAGGTCCAGTTCTCTGAGACCAGACCGAGACTCCAGAGCTGAGGCCAGAGACCTGCAGCTCCTCCCGGTCAGGTCACAGCCCCGCAGCCTGCCGCACCCACAGGGGACATGGAACAAGGACAGGGACATGGACAAAGTTTAGCTCCAACTCACTCTGGCTCCTATTGCTACAAAACCTCCCAGGTCAAAGCCAAAGAGGCTTGAACCCAACCCCCACTGATCCAAGATGGCGGCGTATTCAAATCAGTGGCTTGTGCTCAGTGGCGCCCCCCCCATGGCCACTGAAAGATTAGCAGAACTCATCCATATTTGGGCATCGTCTGGTCCTCCTGGTTCTGTGCAGTGGACGAGCTCCCATGATGCTTTGCTCCAAATACTATCGCGTGCATGGACATACTGTATAAAGAGTAGACGCCGCATGTACCGCTACTGTCTCTTGGCGCCGACGAGCCGTGGCGCCGCCATCTTGGACCGGTCGCCATCTTGGACCGGTCGCCCGCTCCTCTCAGAGTGTTCTGTTTAACAGGCGCAGTGACGAGTCAGCGCATTTAATCAATCATAACTCACTGAATACTTTACAGATTTTCACCATTTTTCTTTACTGTAAACGTCACACATGCAGCTATGATGCAGGATTCATGGTTTGGGGTTTATTATTATTCACAGTGGGTTTAACAGTAATACAATATTCTGATATATGGTTGTGGTGAAGAGGGAGCTGAGCCGAAAGGCAAAGCTCTCGATTTACCGGTCAATCTTCGTTCCCTCCCTCACCTCTGGTCATGAGCTGTGGGTAATGACCGAAAGAACGAGATCGCGGAAACAAGCGGTCGAAATGAGCTTCCTCCGCAGAGTGGCTGCTCCCTTAGAGATAGGGTGAGGAGCTCGGTCACACGGGAGGAGCTCGGAGTAGAGCCGCTGCTTCTCCACGTCAAGAGGAACCAGTTGAGGTGGCTTGGGCATCTTTTCCGGATGCCTCCTGGACGCCTCCCTGGGGAGGTGTTCTGGGCACGTCCCACCGGGAGGAGGCCCCGGGGAAGACCCAGGACACAGAGGGACTATGTCTCTCAGCTGGCCTGGGAACGCCTTGGGGTCCCCCCGGACGAGCTGGAGGAAGTGTGTGTGGATAGGGAAGTCTGGGCGTCTCTGCTTAGACTGCTGCCCCCGCGACCCGGCAACGGATAAAGCGGAAGTAAATGGATGGATGGATGAATACATTTCCTATCTTCATATTTCCTATTATTCTTACTTTCCTATTTTCCTCACACAAATGTGTTTGAACCTTTCTTCAACAAAACTCCTATTTTGCTAATGAACCACTATGTCTGATTTCGTTGGTGACATAAATACAGTTCAGTAATAATCTATTCACAAACTACTATCAACAATAACGGTAATAACATTGTGAAAAGTATTCCCCGAGCCCTGTTTTGAATAGTCCGCCTATTTCGACAGCATTACTCCGCACGGTGCTCGGGCATCGCGCTGTAGGAGACCGGTCCAAGATGGCGGCCGCATTTCTTGTTCTCGAGCGGCCAATGCGGCGTCTACTTTTTATATGTCTATGATCGTGTGTGGCTCTCACGCACGTGCACAGAGGGGCTTCGCAGAGCAGTTAGAGCGGGAAGGAAAGGAGCAGAGTTTGTGGCAGTTCTCTGTCAGGTTCTCTGTCAGGTTCTCTGTAGGTTCTCTGTCAGGTTCTCTGTCAGGTTCTCTGTTAGGTTCTCTGTCAGGTTCTCTGTCAGGTTCTCTGTCAGGTTCTCTGTAGGTTCTCTGTAGGTTCTCTGTCAGGTTCTCTGTCAGGCTCTCTGTAGGTTCTCTGTCAGGTTCTCTGTCAGGTTCTCTGTCAGCTGAGGTCTGTTTTAGTTTACACTGAGTTCTTTGGACATGTTTCTGAGTAACGTGATTTTTTTTCTGAGGTACTGAGAGAATCCCCCCGAGCACATGGTCCTTCAGCTCCACATATTATTATAGATCCATGTTATTATTATAGATCCATGTTATTATTATAGATCCATATGTTATTATTATAGATCCATGTTATTATTATAGATCCATGTTATTATTATAGATCCATGTTATTATTATAGATCCATATGTTATTATTATAGATCCATATGTTATTATTATAGATCCATGTGTTTTTTGTTTTTTTGGCTTAAGGTAAATGGCAACATTTTGCCTCAATAAATAAATCAAGAAAGAAATAAATGTCCCGAGGAGAAATGGGCTGCTGATGGTGGAGCGTGTGTCCCATGTGAAGCACTTTGTGACCTCCTCTCGTGTCACAGGGCTGAGGAAAATAGGCGTGGCCTTCTCTCCTCCTCGCCTCCAGGGGCTGATGTCTCCAGTCATCAGGCTGAGCTTTCAGTCCTCGTCAGAGTCTTGGAGCGGGTGGAGCTGCTGGAAGAAGCGGACGAAGCCCCCCGGACGTCCAGCAGAGGTGGAGGGGGTGGGCTCCTCCTCGATGTCCTCAGAGTAGGAGAAGAGTGACCTCTTGGAGAATGGGCTCTTCCTCTTCATCTTCATCCCTGTGGCGCCTGGACCTCCTGGACGACGCTCCTCTTCAAAGACGGGACAGGGCGCAGGAGAAGGGCTCGCTGCTCGCTGCTGAGGAACCCCCACAGCTGGAGCAGGAGGGGCCCACGGGGGCAGGTCGTCCCAGAAGTCCTCTGGAGGAAGACGCTGGTCGTCTGTGTCCTCGTCTTCCTCTTCGCTGACGTCCTCCTCGGAGAGACTGTCGTACCCAGAGTCTGCGTCGTCCCAGTCTTCCTCCTCCTCCTCTTCCTCTTCATCCTCTTCATCAGAAGCCTCGTCCAAGCCTCGGCCACGCATGAGGAGAAAAGCCCTACCTACCTGCAACTCACCTGCGTCCTCCTCGTCTGACGAGTAGTCAGGGAGAAGGTCCTCCGGAGCGTCCTCAGGGGGTCCCGGGCCGCTGAAACATATTGACAACATCAACAACTTCCTCACACACTAAAGTGTTCTTGTTTTGTTAAAGTCACGAGTCAAACACAGCAGTCCACGTCATCATGAAGACAAAAGAGAAGGAAAGCAACCAGTGCAGTCAGGATCAGAAGGACATTTTTATTTTCTTAAAAAAAAGCCCTCAAGTCCTAAGTGTTTGAGTGGACTATTATCATACATTATCTAGACTTGGTGAAGTATTTGCTGATCCCAGTGAGCTCAGTGTGCCTTCTGCAGCACTACAGTGCATCTGACAGTGTACAGTGAACCACTGTTACCACCATCAATGAGAAATACTCAGATAAACCAGTGTACAGCATCTCCAGCCATGTCTAATGTGCCTCAATGATTACATGTCAACTATCTGTGACTGGGTCTGCTCTCATGAAGCTCGAGGTCGGCGTTACGTCACGAATCATGTGACCTGCGTAGCAACCAACCGCCGCCATGTTTGAAGGGTAAAACAAACCGAAGGCGAATCCAAAAGGTATCTATTTACATATGTTTTGCCGTGGATTATGTCAGTTATGGATACTAACGGACAACTTTGAATTATTGATGAATGATATCTGTGTATGCGAATGTATGTTGGTGGTGTAAACATTCAGGGCTTGCTTAGCTGGAGGCAGGAATCTAAATTCCTATCTATTTCCATTGTAGCTGTTGTCATAGTAACAATAAAGAAATGTCTAACTGTTGTTGGAAATATCAGATAAACCTTATTTTATTAACGCAAATGTCATTCCTCTTGTTCTTGCACCTTAAGCCCACAACAGGACCACCTTTTTCAGTTGTAGTTTTACACTTATAATCGCCAGTTTTAGTTTAATCTTATTTCTCTTGCCTGCAGCTGATGTCACTGATGATGTATATACCACATGTATGGAGTGAATGTAAACACTCATGTAAAGCGCTTTGTGACTAGCTACATGTCTGTGAAAGGCACTATATGAATACAGATCTTCTTCTATTGCAGCATGTCATAGCAGTATATTGACAGTCTCCTAGCGCCTGCATTGACCAGGTACCACAGAAAGCTGTTGCTTGTAGGTTTACAATCTTGTCCCTATCGGCATCCAGCAGAGTCCTGGGAAAACAACCCAAAGGCATGGCCCAGGCTCGAGTATCCAGACATATACAATTACCTCATCAAGTCCCCTGGTATGAACACCATGTGTACATACCATGTGTCCTACACTTGTAGTAATATTTAAATACCCATCAAGCATCAATAACATTAACTATGTTATGACATTCAAAAGCATTCTGTTACAATGTGGCTGTAATGAGCTCAGTCTGTCAGTGGCACAGCTTGTACAGTGTAAGTGAGGGACACAGTTTTTTTCAAAAGCCAAAAAAGGCTAACTGCAGAAATTCCACTTATTCCCCACACAACTAGTGCATTTCATTGTTGCTTATCGGTGTAGAGCTGCCGACCATTATGCATAGCGATGTCATAACATAGCAACAGAAAACAGTGGCATGGCATTGGTATTATTTTGTTATTCTTTGATTTGCCCCTCAATGTGTCCATTCAGTTGAGATTACATTTCTATTTAAATTTTAAAGTAAAATGGCATACCCTCTATTCACACTTTTTATGACTGGTTATTTTTTGCAATAACCAGTCATCAGATTACATTTTATTGAATGTAGTGTCTAACGACAACAGCAAGACTTTAACATTTCTAATGAGAAATAGTTTATTAGACATTGTATAAGTAGAAATACTAAAAGACGTGAAGATTGACATGAAAACATTTGTATCATTTACTTGCAATTTGTCAGTGTTTTTGCTCTGGTCAATTGTCACTCTCCTAGATGTGATATGTTAATCATGTATAAAAATAAAATTATTTCCCTTTCTTCATTTTCTTTTGTTTCAGGTGTATTTAGTATTATGATGGTGGAGACCGAATCATCGCTGATTTTGTCAATGCCTAATTCCGTCTGCTGCAGGTCTTGCATTTCCATGCAGGGTGTTGACACTTCTTGTTGCAACTCTTCTGGGACACTTGTCTCCTCAAATTCCAGTTGCTTCTTCACCTTCCTTTCCTTTCGTGATACTAGAGTAGTGGATGGTGCTGAAAAAAATAGATAAAAGGTATATATTTTGCAAATGATCACAGAAATTTTAAGTCATGGCCTCATATTTATAATAATAATAATAATGCATCAGTTTTATGTAGTGCTTTTCTGGACACTCAAAGACGCTTAACATTGCACTATTCATTCACTCCATACTTGGTGGTGGTAAGCAACTATTATAGCCACAGCTGCCCTGGGGTAGACTGACTGAAGCGAGGCGACCAGTCTGCGCCATCGGCCCCTCCGACCACCACCAACCACTCACTCACTCGGCTTCCTGGTGTTACTAAACGGCAGTATATTTAGTATTGAGTTGGATTGGGACGATAAGTCATAATAGTCGACTATGACTAGAAAGCAGCGACCAGTAGACTAGTTTTGTACTATAAATACCATCTTACCAAGAATTTCCAGGCTAGGCATTATGTACAAAAATCTGCATGACTAGTTACTTTGTAGATGCAATGACTTTTTCATACAGGAGGTAATTTTGTTTTCAAGGAAAATACATTTGTTAGCAAAATCTGTATTTTTACACAGATTACCATTTTTGTAGCAGTTAACCTCCCAAGTACTACTTTTTCAAATTTGTCATTAGAAATCAACATGTATTTTTTATTTATGTATTTCATATGGGGGACAACATTCTATTTCACAAGGTGCTTGTATCAATTGTTGTACACAACCTCATTGCAATATGGAATCTTTTAATTCTGAACTGTGCATTGGAAATGCAGCTCATTATCTGCAGGTACGGTTTTACTGCAGTGTAAAATAAGAGCAATAAACACAATTTGCTACTATATATATGTCTGCATAAACAAAATCGACTGCAATTTTTTAGTTTTAAATTTCAAGTGTTGTGTCAAACAAATTCAGATAATTTTTGGTCATTGATCTAGGAGCAAACTAGATGCATGTTGATCACACTACAGTTTGATGGGGTTTTTTTCTGTTAACGATAGGGTACTGTGGGTAGCAAACTTACCTTTTCTTTTCTGTGCTCTCTTGAAGCGATCAAGTGTGGTACTCTTAGTCAATTCCTTCAGCACTGCTTGCGGGAAAATGGACGGAGTGTAATCTGGGTATGCGGGGTTGTTGTTCTTCTTTCCTGTTCAAGGAGCAAAGTGACAAAATCTAAAGATTCCCACTGAGTAGCTCCAAGCCAGCTGGAGCCATTTCTCTCTCCTTTCTGGCTCAGTTGCCTCGCTAGGGATCATGTAAAAGGATAGGTCACTCCTTTTTACGCTGTTGTTGGTACAACCAACAATACAACAGTTTTTCGGCATGTTTTGTAACGCTCGTTTGTCTTTCGCTTCGTGTTGCTTAATGGCGGGCGCTGGTTTGTTTTACCCTTCGCCGCGTTGCTATGCGCGCGCAGTGCATTATGGGAGTCCAAGTTCCCGGATGTCCGACCTCGAGAATGGATCTATAATAATAACTGGATAGAGTATTACTAGCTTAGAGCTGTCCCACCCATGACCACAGGGGGCGCTGTGGTACTGCAGAGTAAATTCACGTGGGCTACCCAGAAAAAAGTCCCATAGAACTCAGTGTAAACTAAAACAGTTTGACCTCAGCTGACAGAGAACCTGACAGAGAACCTGACAGAGAACCTACAGCTTTCATAAAGATCGGATTTTGTGGGGATTTTAGTGTCCCTTGTCGTCCTGAACTTTTTTTCTTCTTAAAGGCGCTATACCCGTTTCTGCAATGTTTGAATGTTTGCAGACTCGCTCACAGGCTTCTCATTTCCCCTACGCTCATAACACGGAGCCACCTAGTTTTATTTGCGATCTGATAAATATGCTAACATTAGCATTAGCACAACTTCTTGTAAGCTCAACAACAATCACTGATGAAATGGCACTAAAGCAACGCACTGCTGACACAATATATAAGTACAAGAATACCGCTAGTTTCGCGTCCGAATGTATTAATTTAAAACCTTAGAATATATTCTAATATTTAATTATAATTTGTTATAGAGCTCCTCAAAGCAGCAGCAGCAATTCTTCCGATCATTTTTTCTTGATAACAGAACTCCCAAACCAATAATGACCGAAGCCCCACTGCAATCTCTGTTTGTAATTCAGGTGTGTAAAATACTGCCATTACTTTGCAAGAACAAGCTATCAGCGCCTGTGGGGTCGGCCCGATGTTCCCCGGGTCCGATGTTCCCCGGGGCCGGGAACATCGGACCCGGGGAACATCGGACCTTCCAAACGCCGGAGGGCCCGGTGTTCCCCGACTGCGGGCCTCGCTCATAGACATGTTATTGCTGCGCGCGGATAATGGAGCAACAAGCGGCTTTCGCTCATAACTAGTCTATTTTGGGTAGGCCTGCAGATTAGTAAGTAGGCCAAATTCGCTTGCAAACTACAAGGGCTAACTGGAATTGGGGTTTCAAAGAATATGGTTCAAACGCACACACGCACGCACACGCACTCACGCGCGCACATACACACAAGCTCATTTATGAAACTTGCGTTGAAAAAGATGTACATTTTGGGTGTATATTCCATTTACGCAATTTGCCAAAATGTTTTGATACATTAGAAAAATCCTTCTTGAATTGTAGAAGTGAATAAATATAGATTGATTGAATTAATTAATTAATTAATATATATTATGCAGCGGTGGCTCTGAATGAAGCGTCTGCAGCGTCTTGGACGCAGCCTGGCTCGGGGTAGAAGTGCGCATTGAGGCGCTGTACACTTCATAGAGAGCGTTTGCGGTCCAGATTTCACAAAGAAACTCTGGAGCCAAAACTTCTGCAC